AGTTCTCCACTCTTATCCTGAGGCCGACTCTGTTGCCCCTACCACCCTTGGTGTCCACACTGAGGACCCAGGACGCATGGCCCAATGGCCGGTGCCCTCCCCCAGCCAGGCTGCTCAGCTAGGCCTCTTTCTCTTCCCCCTCTGCACCCAAAGCCAATCAGAAAGGAGTCAGCGGCTGGGCAGGGACCTCCCAACCTGTCACGCCCCTAGCCTCTGCTGTTGGCTCAATATCCCTGACATCAAGCCTCAGAGTAACTCGTTCCTTGGCCCAACGGTCATGAAGCCTTGCCTAACTGGATGCGGGAGAGCCCAGCCCAGATCCTCCCATACCAACCTGGGACTCCCAGCCTCCCAGGCTGCCCATAAATTCTTAACATTTTCCGACTTCAGTTATCCAAACAAGAAATGAGTCTCAGTTGCTGAACAAAATATCTCGAGGTTTGACTTCCTAACCTCACCGCTGGCTCCTTTCAAAGTCATTTGTCACTGGAGGGTGGGATGGGACCGACATCTGCTTCTTGGGGGAGTGGGGTTATTTTTCCAAGAAGAGAACTTGGAAACGACAGGCACAGGTGCCCTTCCTTAGCCAGGGACGACCAGCTAGTTGGCGGCTAAAGGCAGGGAATGAACAGCAGCAGGCCCACCCCCAAGACTCCCCCAGAGGGTCGGGGTTATTGATTCAAGTGGTTTGGCCAGGCCGCCCCACAGGGGCAAGGCCATGGGTTTCTGGCTATCTCTCCTCCGGCCCTAGAGCTCAACCAGGCAGGGGTGTTCTTAGACCCAGGCCCCAGGTCTGTCCCCTATGCCTACACCTTCAGCCAGACTCTGGACTCAGATTGTTTGCATAACCTCAGAGACCCCTCTGAAATGTCCGGAACTGACCCTGAGAACTGGCTATAGGGCTGGGGCAGACCCCAGCAAAGTCTCCCTTCTAGAACACTCTTTGCTCTATTTCCCCAACGGTGGACAGGGGTGCTGTCACATGATCACTCTAGCCAAGGTAGCCTTGAAGAAGCATGACCTGCTAGAGCAGCTCCCAGGAACCTGGGTTTGCCCATGAAGAGATGCCTGTCCTTGGACAACTCGTTTAACGTCTCTATGCCTCATCTGTAAAATGGGTTAATAGCATGTCTTACCTCCGAGGGTGACTTAATATACATGGTGGTGAAAACAGTGCCCAGCGTGTAAGTGTTCAACAGGCATTTACCAAACAAAATGAACCCACCACCCTATCCTGGAACACACAGGTGGCAGGGCGGTAGGGGACAGCCAGGAAGGTGATCCTTCACTGCTGCTCAACTAAACCTTTCATTTCTACACACGGAAAGACAAGGAGGGCTCATCTCCTGGGCCTCATTTTAGACAAACCTCCCAAGGTCAAGGTTTGAGACACACAATCACAAAGGGACCACTGAGGAGGCAGGGACCTCGGCCGCCCCTCACTGTCTTCTGAGAGCCACCCAAGCTCGGATGATAGAGACAGGCCCTGCCCCTCCCTCCACCGTCCCTTTCTCAGTGCTGCTCGGCATCCCCTACAGTACTTTACCTGCCACCCATGAGAGGTGAGAGCCATCACAAATGCTCCCCAAATATCAGTAAGCACCTGCTGTGTGCCAGGCACTGGGCTGGGTCCCGTGAACAGAACAGACCAGAGTCCTGGCCCCATGGAGCCCAGATTCCAAGGGTCACTCCCCTTATCCCCCCAGCACCTCTGTGAGGAGGAAGCAGTGAGCCTCGCTTTCCAACGAGGCCACCAAGGTG